CTAAAAACAACTGATATCCGACCACTGCAGCACTGCGGATTAACATGCACTATTTCTGATGCTAAATTTCTGATTACATAAAGTCAACACTTGCCTTGCCCTAAAAACAACTGATATCCGACCACTGCAGCACTGCGGATTAACATGCACTATTTCTGATGCTAAATTTCTGATTACATAAAGTCAACACTTGCCTTGCCCTAAAAACAACTGATATCCGACCACTGCAGCACTGCGGATTAACATGCACTATTTCTGATGCTAAATTTCTGATTACATAAAGTCAACACTTGCCTTGCCCTAAAAACAACTGATATCCGACCACTGCAGCACTGCGGATTAACATGCACTATTTCTGATGCTAAATTTCTGATTACATAAAGTCAACACTTGCCTTGCCCTAAAAACAACTGATATCCGACCACTGCAGCACTGCGGATTAACATGCACTATGTACAGATGAATGCTTACTGTCGGCATGCTGTCTGTGCCTGATGAGATGAGAAGTCGTTCACCGTTCGCCTGACCTTCACCTGACCCGCTCACGAGCTGCAGCGTAATGCGCTGTCGCTTTGCCACTGGAACGCTGGCGTCATCCCCTGCTGAGAACGTCCAGATATAACAATATCAATCATGTTATATTATAATGAGATATAATTATACAGATATAGATTCCGGTGAGAGAATAGACATGGAAAAGAGAAAAGATATATTCATTTACCTAAAGCCATGGGAGCAGAGGGTTTTCCACCAGTAATACTACACACAATTAGGATCTAAGATTGATCTTTAATTGAGCTATTTGAGTTACAGTCGTACTTTCATAAATTTTGTCATGGGGTATATTGCATAAACCCCTGGAGACCGCATTGCAGTCCCCTTAGAGCACTTCAATATAGCTGTGATCTGTATAATGCGTAAGTGTCTACGAGTGTTGCATTGGACAAGTTACACCGGGCAAATAACATTTCGTCGTAGTCTTGAATACCTCCATGAGCGAGCGTGGCAACTGCGTGAACTTGAATTCTGGATTGACTTGGCCCACCGCCATCAACGTCGCCGTGAGCTGTTCTCTTGTGCATTGCAAGCGTTGATGTTTGCCTGGGAAGAAGCAAGATGTGTTACAGACAACAGCGCATTCTCTGATTGCACTTGTGTCCCAAAAATAAGCAAGTTCTCTGACCAACATTCAACACACACCTCTACAATACAGTTCTACCTAAAGTGATATCATTAGTTTATATGCAAAACATGCTAAACAGACCTATAGTTCTTTCCACAGTAGCTGCAAACATAGGGCTTTGTGTGAGTGTGCACGACATGGTGCTTATATAGACTGCTGTACTCCGTGAAGCGCTTGCCACATCCTTGTACGGTACACACATAGGGCTTCTCACCTAGCGTGATAAACAGGTCAGTAAAATTAGTATTTCGATGCTACAGTTGAAGAAGAAATACTAGATTGCATGGAAGGAGGCAGTCAAATTCTACTGCCTCACACACATGTAAACTTTCTGGCATGTCTTCAAAAAAACGTACGCTGGCCCTGAAGTCATTAGGATCCCACACGAAATGCTTGCTGGGATCGAATATGCTAATGACAAAATGCTGCACTCACCGCTGTGTATCCGTATGTGATTCTTATAGTTGGTGGCGCTGGAGAATGCCCTCCCGCAGCCCTCCTCTTCGCAGAGGTACGGTCTCTCACCCGTGTGAGTGCGCATGTGAACCTTGCGGATGTTGGAGGTGGTGAAGCAACGATCACATCCTTCGAACGGACACTTGAACGGACGCTCACCTGAAAACAATAGCACACGCAAACATTTACACACACAGCGAGCTCGCGCACAGGGCATGTGACATCAGGGCGGCCAGGTTTCGTTTTGGTTATACAACTGACTCATTGAATTCGACTCGCAACTTGATTCTTATCTGAACCTAAACTCATTTCATTGTCCATTCACATGTTTATTCCATGATTACACTACATACATAAATTTCAAAACCACATCTTCAGACCATATATGAACTAACCCTTGTTAAACCCTTGTAAACCCCTTAACCCTTGTAAACTTCTACGGCAAAAGATGATCTTGGCAGAAACTATTCCAGAGGAAAACTCAGTTGTTTCTTAATATCGACGCGTGCTAATGTATGAGCGAGTGGTTTAGCGTCATACCCGTGTGCGTCCTCACGTGCTTCTGTAGGTCTCCAGATGTCTTGAAGGCCTTCTCGCAGCTCTCTTCCGGACACTTGTAGGGCTTCTCCCCAGTGTGGATCCGCGTGTGGCTCTTCAGGCCATAACCGGTAGCAAACGCCTTGCCACAGCCGGACACTTCACACTTGAAAGGTCGATCGCCCGTGTGAGAGCGCTCATGCACCTGTGAGTGACAGCACACAGAGAAGTTACCGATTATTGCACTACAATAACATAATATACGTCGTAAGCGAGAGAGGCAGCCTTAAATCTCCATGGCCCTTTAGCTGTATTTAGCTAGTTATGCAATCTTAAAGTAAACTTGAGTTATTTATAATACTGTGACCAATGTAAATGCATACCAAGTAGGTACTTACTAAAACCAGCCCAATCAACTTCAACCAGCTGAAAACGACTTGCACCTTACACGGAGAAATTTCCACAATCAATGATAAGGTCCAAACACTCTACTCTACATCACCACGGATCTACTATAAAAATATCCGACACCAAAGCAATTAGGAAGCTTTAATATAGACAGCTACCTCAAAATAGGTTGCTACTTGAACACATTCTCCTACCAATAAACAGAAAACTAAGCCAAACCCTATGGCTCAACTCTGCCAGAGCATTCCCCTGCTTTACGGTACGGTGTAAAAATACAATTTCCTAGTGTAGAACATCATCTTGCATGCAATCTGGCCACCACGCGTTGTCATGAATAATTGTCGGCTGCCTTGTCGCCCATGTGCTCACCTTAAGGTGATGCTGGGTGGTGTACAATCGGCCGCAAGCCTCGTAGTTACATCGATAAGCCTTCTCGCCCAGCGCGAGGGCACGTGCACTGATCCTCAACGTGCTCGCCGGCTCATCCTCCTTCGCCTCTCGTTCCGGGGCCGGCGAATCCTCCTGCAAGTCACAGATTCAGTGACCCCCACGTCACGTAATATTTATGAACCCAATGATAAACCCTGATATATACATGTACAGTGTTGTAATGGAGAGTTTTCATCAGAAGACGTAGTGCTAACCTGCTGCTGCTACTACTGCTGCTGCTGTTACTGCTGATGCTGCTACTACTGCTGCTGGTGTTACTGTTGCTGTTGCTATTACTGCTAGTGATACTACTGCTGCTGCTGCTAATGTTGCTGTTGCTATTACTGCTAGTGATACTACTGCTGCTGCTGCTGTTAATGTTACTGCTGATGCTGCTACTACTGCTACTGCTGTTACTGTTGCCATTACTGCTGCTGTTACTGCTACTGCCACCACTCCTATTGACCTGGTGCTAATGTCACGGCTACCCTTCCATTACTCTGCTACTGCTGCAATGTGTTACCGGATTACTGCTCTTACATATAAAGTTACCTGTAAGCCTTCTATGCTGAGATTAGCCGGGTCAACACCGCTGTCAAGCAGTGACTCCATGTCAGTGTGCGCGATGTAAGCTGTAGTACCATCTTCCAACTGCACTGCCTGTAGACCTATACAGAACATACAATATCGGTCAGTGTTGGAATTCGCAAGAGACAAACAGTCAGATATGAGAAATTTCCAATCATTGGAGACAATTGTTGAGTTTATCTCAATACATCGACCAACAATAGATAAGGACACCGATGGCAGCCAAAATTATGATTACAGAAACAAAACTGTAGTGTAGGTCAGGGAGCTATTGCTTAACTCACTATCAAACTACAAAAGAAAGCCTGGATATTTGTTAATGGTAATTATTAATCTAACCCTTTGATTTGTGGTGTATATACGCAGTCGTGCCATCCTCTAGTTGAATCGACTGGCCCTCATCAAATGACGATGTCATTTCATCTTCCTTCGCCTCTTCTGTAGGTTCAACGCCTGCTGCTTCAAATGCCTGTATATATGCCATCGTACCATCCTCCAATCTCACCTCAGTTCCCTCCAGTAGTTTCTCTCCTATAGCAAATAGCAGATGCAAGACAGTTGTTAGAAAAATCTCAGAGACAGATACAGCTAGCAACATAGAGATAACAGTAGAGAGACAGTCAGATGAAACAGAAATATATATACCAGTGAGCATTTTCCCATCATCTTCATTTGTGTGAATATATGCCGTTGAACCGTCAGCCAGCGTTACAGCGATGGGGAGAGAGTCACCCGAGGCAGCCGCACTTAGCTCTGGGTTATTTTCCACCTTGCACGCATAATCAACACGCTCTCCGCAGCCGACATCTACGGTCTCCGTCTCCTGAAAACAAGTTAGCTACCGTTGCCAAATATCCGTCAAAATTTTCATTTGTACGTGAATGCGAAACTATTTTCTTTGCAGTACTCCACCACAGTTGCTAGTATGTAAATCAGATGCTCGTCTATACACAGACAGCAAATATTTATAAACTGATCTTGGCGAGTGGCTTACTTGCTTTTCATATGGATGTTCATGATTGTGTGAAAGAATTTACATTAACAACTAGAGGCACTACAGAGTGCATACCTCCGCCAACAACGATTAGTAATAGTATAACATAATAGCAATATTAAAGTAACTATAGTACTAAAGTAACACTATAGTAGAACATTATCTATATTATGACACTACTGATAATAATAATGGACCTACCAATCCAGCCTTACACTTATCTATGAGTCACTTAGCTAGGCAGAGTGCACTGACGGAGTGCATATGTGTTACGAGCTGGCTCGCTGCGCTGGCTGGCTCGCTGGCTTGCTGGCTTACGCGCTAATATCGATCGCGCGAACACACAAACACAGGAACACTAGACTGGTACCCGGTCCCACCTCTCGGCTTAGTTACTCGATGGGGGAATCGAGGTGGGAGCGAGTACCAGTCTAACGCGAACACACGAGAGCGAAAACATAACCTCCTCCAACTCTGTTGGGCGGAGGTAATAAAGCTTAGCCCTCCTTATACCTTATTAAGTACAATGTAGTTATTACTTATGAATGTTTTGGTGCATTGACTCCATTTCAGTAAGTTGCAACATATGGTTTTGCACACTGATACAAGTTGCATGTCACGTACTCGACTTTACCATAATGAAATATCATACAACGACACTGCTCTACACTAGGTGCAAACACATTGATTTAACTGTTTGCACTTTTAATCTAAAGGAGCCAAGCATAAGTTATATACAGCACAACTCTGAGCGAACTGTAAGATTACAATAATAATGAATTATTACATTGACTGTAGACATTGGCTCTGGTTGGAGAAGCATGCGAATTCCTTCACCACCAGGGTTCTCCACTGTCACAACTGTTTCTTCACCAGTCTCCTCCATTATATCTTAATATTCACTTATCACTGAAAAATTTTGAAATAAAAAAAATTTGTATCTAGGTTAGAACTGACAACTCTATTAGACAGTAATAGACGAGTATTATTTTGCATTAAATATTTTACACTCGGTTAGTGAGCAACCACAAAGGCAGTCTCTGTATTTCCGGTGTGGCGATAACATTCCTGCTGAGTGCTGTATCGCCTATCGCCGCTCATAGGGTCTATGTCCCCCAGGGTACTGCCGGAACGTACCCTGGTAACTATCTAGCTGATATGGTTAGGGTTAGGGTTAGGGTTAGAGTTAGGGTTAAGGAGTAGGCGTAGGCGACTTCCTAAACTCGTTAGTGGAGTAGGCAAGGTACGGTCCGGCATATTAGATAGTAGCATCTAGTACCACTGTACCAGGGTACGTTCCGGTATACGGGACCGTACCCAGGGTACGTTCCAGCAACACCCTGGGGGACATAGACCCTATCCGCCCTATCGCCATCGGCCAGTTTTCCAGTATTTTCACTTAAGATTCAGGAGAAGAAATGTCAATGATAAGAGCGAACAGCTCAAAAAAGTCTACGATATCACGTTTGTTATTCAATCGTGTCGCATCAAATGGGTGAAAATGAAATTCCAAAATTTATTAACTGAAAACACCTTAGTTTCGTATATCTTGCAATGCTGTTGTTATACTCAGTTCTTCTTACAACTGTCAGTGTCACTAAACTGTTCAAAACAACTACAATTTTCTACTTCTACTCCGAGTCCTACTCATATTATATTGGTGGATAAGTAATCTGATTCCATAGCTCCGAAAAATGTCGTTTTCTGACCCTTCTAGCACTACGCATTTGGGAGTTGTCATTATTGATTTCCATTACTAGTTCTTGATTTATAAATACTTTTACTTTGCGCTATGGTAAACCGACAATTTGTTAAACAGTGTCTAGAACATTGCAAATGCGAAACAAACATCAAGAAACAGCGCTAAAACCACAAAGGATACTGGGAAACTTACCACCCCACCATGCACTGCACAAGATGGCGATGAGAGCGATTAACTCAACAAAATTCTTGGGCCACTGAATAGGGTTACTTTAAATAAAGATTACCTCATTGCATCACACATCACTAAAATGCAGCAAAAATTGGTAGAAATTAAGTAAAAATATGTAAATGCAAAATCTGTTACGAAATAACTTGCATTCTACAATTGTAAATTATGTAAATAGATCGGATGCCTACTTCGTTCTTTTGAAATCCAGATTCGGGGCCTCGTATCGCTCAATAGTTTTTATACGTCTATTATCGGATTCGTCGCGTAACCTTTCCATACATACAATGATGTTGATTTCGACATTTCGTTATTGTAATTGCGTCCGGGATTCTCACAACAACGCTATAAGTAATTGGGCGATGACCCTGCCGTACACTGAGACAGTCATAACAATATGATCATATGACTCAAGTAGCATGATCAACAGTGACGGCCAATATCAGTTCCCGCTCTTCATGAATCACTTTGGTCCGTTTGCTCGGTATCTTGTATCTTGTATCTTGGGGTCCCTCTCTTGTATTTCACAAGGCACAGATTCTCGGTGAAATCGCGTGCTTTATTAGAGTTCAGAGTATGACGTAGCTCGAACAACTGAATCATTGCTTTGGCCACTGAGATTTATATAATAACCGTTATGTTATTATATAGATCTACAAATAGTATGTTCATTATTAGATAACTGCGATGGGTTATGACGTCTCCACTAAAGCAAGGAGCTACATATAACAGTACAGCTACAGCTACATATAAGGAGCTGTTATATGTAGCTCCTTGCACTAAAGCAGTTCCGTCCCGGATTTGTGTTTTATTTAAAGTGCTCGTAGATGGCGCGCACGAACAATGCAAATGGGCAGCGTTGTGTGAATGTAGTTTCAATGAACTGAGAACTCTGTAACGCATCGAAGTAATAGTCTTCAAAGTGCAAGGGACTATATATCGAGACGGAAAAGTACTCAAGGAACGTCGGAATAGAAGAAGAGTCAAGATTAATGCCTAGTTAATAGCTACTAAAATTTAACCAGCAGTGGCTGTACGGTACGGACTACGTAAGCCGTCCGGTCGTTGAATGCGGCCGCTTTTTGGCGTTAGGGTTAGGGTTAGGTTTAGGGTTATGGTTAGGTTTAGGGTTAGGGATTCTAGCTCATCTAAACTCTGCAATCGTGATTTATTTCGCCAAGGCGTTATTTCGAATCTGCTGCGCCCACCGCCCCATCTTTGGTCTCGTTAAGTATGAAAGCTAAATGGACTCCCGTACGCCGTAGCCCTCGAGACATTAAGATACGGCTAAAGCCGTACACGTAGGCCACTGCCAAAATTTAAGCCTTTAACTATCGCTCATAGAGTCTATTCCGCCCGCCCCAGGGATACTGCCGGAACGCTTAACCCTGGGTATGGTCGCGGTATAATTTCGCGAAGCGTACCACTAGGTCACTATTTGATATGGTTAGGGTGTAGGGAGTAGGCATAGCCAACTCTCTAGACTCGTTAGTGAGTAGGCGAGGTACGGTCCGAACATTAGTTAGATAGTACCAGCAGAGCATATAAATCACGTTGATTTATATGCTCTGGTAGAGCGCTAGGTACGTTCCGGTATAATGGACGCGCGTACTCAGGGTTACGTTCTGCGGCAGTACCCCCGGGGACATGACCCCTCTCGCTAACTATTGTTGCAATGGTATACCTTGCGGTATTTCATTGTGAACAAACATTCGATTTGCGAACGTCAAACGGCCATTTGTGGCGGCGGCTGGCAGCAGCGCCAAGTCAGCAGAACCATGTATTTCCGCACGTGGAGGGGTGGGCGGGTTGTTGTTGGTTGTGGACAAAAACATTGTTTGTTATGTATTACGGGAACAATAGCATATTACTGAGCAATATGCTCTGCTACATAGCAGAGCAAACCATCTGTGAGAGTGAAACTATGATATCGTTCGACGTAGTATCTCTGTTCACTAACGTGCCTATAGAGGGTGCATGCCAGACAGCCCTACTTCGCATGCAGGCGGACAGCAGCCTAAGCAGCCCCGCACCGCTCTCTCTCCTGAGCAAGTCACCAAGCTCTTTCGAGTTCGTCCTACGGTCCTACATACTTCCTCTACAACGGCTCGTACTACGAGCAGACGGAGGGGGCAGCCATGGGTAGCCCGGTCTCGGCCGTGGTGGCCAACTTGTACATGTAGTTTGCCGGTGTGGTGTTTTGAACATAAACATTGTTCAAAACCACTTATTGTCAACTTAAAATGCTAAGAGTAGATTGTAACATAATTATTTGAATATCTCCTGCTTATTATGAGCTATAATAGTATACGTATATATGTATTAGTTATCGCAGGCACTACGGTCCAAACTCTACGGTACAATGCTGACTGCCACTGCGGCAGTCTCATTTGCCCAATGCTAGCTGCGCTTTACACGCGCGGCTACTGCGCATGCGTGATGCATGCGCACCGGACGTGCTGGGGTAATTTCAGAACTGGGGTAATCTCAGACCGTGACACGCGGCGTTTACGTAATTTAGTTTGGCAAATAAACTGAGACATGTGGGCAGTAACACTAGTAGCCGTATCAGATCAAGGGACTACAACACAAGTAGAGATTGTTGTTGTTGTTATTCATTAATCCTCGCTGTTACACGAGGTCATGGACACAATGTAACACGCTTTGTAATCGTTAGCTTCGCAGTGTTTGCCTCATAGTAAACAATCGCTTTTTAGCTCATCTGACACATAGTCAGATGGCAGCTTGTAGAATCGGCTTGATTCGTCGTCGTCCGTCTCGTGCGTCCGTCGGCGTCCGCCGTGCCGTCCCGTCCGCGGCGTCACAGTTGGCCAAATGCTAACCGTCGACGTACGGTCACGATATTCGGGATGTGGGGGGGTAATCCGGAAAACGAGTTGGGATGTCGAAGCTGGGGGTCAAAGGTCAAAGGTCAAGAGGTGTAAAATAAGGGGGAAACATATCACTCCTTAACTTAAGGTATAGGTGAGAAATGCAGAAGTTGCGGCACAAATCTAATACGCTCGACCTGGTTCGTGATTAGTCGGTGTAAATAGCATCATGTAAGGAAAAGCCATCACTGTGGCCGAAATTGGAGGTCAGCAGGTCAAAGGTTCAGGTGGGCACAGGGCGATTTTATACGATTTCTCTGAGGACATGGTCTGACGGAGCGATTGAAAAACTTTTTTGTTTTCAGCGGTGAACGCTACATTTTTTGGCTTTATTGAAAGGACCATGAAATGTCCGCTTCTGCTGACAACTGCGAAGAGTAAGTGTCGAATTAACCTTTTTGACCCTCAAGAAGGACGGGTTAATACATCGGATTTGTTGACTGTTAACGAAGGCCTGAACTGCTTTANGAGGAGGAGGAGCGGAGAAGGTGATGGAGATCGAATGAAGAAGGTGATGGAGGAGGAGTAGGGGGCAGGAGGAGGAGGAGGAGGGGAGAAGGTGATGGAGGAGGAGGAGGAGGGGAGAAGGTGTTGGAGTAGGTGGAATTCGATCTCCATCACCTTCTCCGCTCCTCCTCCTCCCCTCTTCCTCCTGCCTCCTACTCCTCCTCCATGACATTCTTTCCCCCCCTCCGCCTCCTCCTTCTCCTCCTCCTCCTCCTCCATGACCTTCTCTCCTCCTCCTCCTGCTCCATCACCTTCTCTCACCGGCAAACTACCGCGAAGATGGCACACAGCCATGCACTCGTTCTGTGACTAGTCAACATTGATTAACTCGTCCAGCTATATATATGCAAGCACCTAGAAAAACGATCAGACGAAATAGAAGAACAAAGTGCCAAGTGAACACAATTATGTCGTTTAATACCCGTGGAGTTACCATGTTATAGATACTTTAATGGCAAATTTCGTTTGAGGAAACGGTTAGTTACAAAATTTGTTCATAAAAATATTATAAGAATAATAAGAAGGAATAATTCAGGAATGAACAAAGAATAAACACAAATGTTGTTATTTACTCCTGATAATGAGAATACTTCAACTATCTCCCTCCTACTCCTCCTCCACCTCCTACTCCCACATCACCTTCTCCCTTCGATCTCCATCACCTTCTCACCTCTTGCTCATCTATCACTGTCTCCCCTCCTCCTCCAGCCCACTACTCCTCCTCCTCCTCTTCCACCTACTCCAACACCTTCTTGGTGTTTTGAACATAACCATTGTTCAAAACCACCCATTGTCAACTCAAAATGCTAAGAGTAGATTGTAACATAATTAGTTGATATCTCCTGCTTATTATGAGCTATAATAGTATAGTATATGTATTAGTTATCGCAGGAACTACGGTCTAAACTCTACGGTACAACGCTGACTGCCACCACCGCGGCAGTCTCATTTGCCCAATGCTACTGCGCTTTACAAGCAGCGCTACTGCGCATGCGTCACGCATGCGCACGACATGCTCAGCTGGGTTAATTTCAGACTGCGGTATTCTCAGACCGTGACACCGGCTTTACGTATTTTAGTTTGGCAAATAAACTGAGCGCGTGGGACAGTAATGTAGCGTTGAACAAATTCAAGTCAGTTATAAAGCGAACAGTTGGATTGTCACAGGGAAAACGTTGTTTTATTTCGCACAGCACTCTGTCATCGTAACCGGCCATGTTCTCTCTCCGCGTCCCCTTCTATACCCTTGGGCGTGCCCTTACCGTCGGCAGCGTCCCTTCTCGCCTCGCCATCCGCTTCGGCCATCTGCCCTCTTGGTTCGGCGTCGGACATTCCTATCGAGTGACCACCGGGTCTATCTTACGTCAGTTTGGACTGTGTAAACCCAACCCTTTGGCCTCTGGCTGGCTGCCAAAATGTCCCTGGTTACTTTTATTCTGCATGCGTTGCTTCGTGGCTACTTATCTTAGCCCAGACTACTGCGTGCTCGCCTTTCGTATCTAATGTACCTCTAATCTATATCTAATCAAGATCTAATGTATAT